TGCGAACAAGGTGGCCACCACCCCGTGTTCAAATGTCGAATGGCGGCAACTTTAACTGTTCGGGAGTTTGAAGAACCATTGTTTAAAGTCCCAATAGCCACAAATAGGGTCTCTCAGCAAAAACCAATTAACAGGGCCATAGTCAAAGGGTAAATGGTTGGCAAGTAGTCCTCTACAAAACCCAGTGGTGAAATGGCTTTCGTCACATATACTATAGGTGGGTGTAGCGCCTTCGTTAACAATGCTATATCCTCTGCTTTTGAGGTGGAATAAGTAGAATACTTGTGCACTACCGAGAGATTGATTGGGTAACCCAATCTGTACTTAAGTCCTTTGGATCTCAGCATGTCTGTCAGCAGTTTAAAGGATCTGTGGGCCTACAAGGTGGTCCATGACAGATCCTAAAAAATCCTGGCATCTCCAGTTTGTGTGTGAATATCATTTTACTTCGCTGGTTACAAAATCTCTTTACTTTATCAGAGTATGACACACAATGTCACTGAGTTGAGAAGAGTTGATACTTTTAAGCCTTAAGGCTCTGTGAAGCCAGTCAAAGCAGTGTCCTGTGGCCTTTGCATCTTGTTGATGAAGTCTAGTCACGGTTCTCCCCATGCCATCCAGACAGCCAGGTGTGGCCACCCCACAGGTGTCTTACAGGGGATTTGATCCTGGGTTCTTCAGTATCCTGTGCCTGCTTTCCTGCCTCTGAGCCACTGCTGAACTTGTTCTAGTAGTGTGGTTCTACCCCTGTTTATTAGTGTGGTTCTACCCCTGTTTATCTTGCATTGTCTGCAGCACTAGGGGGTTGGACTTCTCCTGTGGCTACTACCCGTCACTCAAAGTCCACCTGAGGCAATTTGTACATTTGCTGCTCATTATTCAGGTATATAACACTGCTTCTTCCTGAGGGCAGGGTCAGTTCATTGTTTCCTGTACCTGTTGCCTATTTTTTCTTGATTTCCAGGCTGACTTGGCTTGTTACCTCTGCTTTTGGATTATTCGATATTGTCTGTTCCATGCCTGCCCTGACCTTTGGAACCGTGCCTGACTACTCTCCTGGATTTGCCCTTGTCTGTTCCTGCCAAGCCCCCATGCACAGATTTACAGCCCAGGTGGCTTCTTACCTGGTTACCATGGGCTGTGATCATCTGCAAGGGTGAGCTAATATCTCTGCACTATGGACTCCAACCAAAGTAAGCCCTACCACATTCTGTCTCCCTCTCTTGCTCTTCATCTCATTTCCAATCTCTTCCTTTTTTTCCAGCACATTTCTTTTACCCTTCAAGCACGCAACTATAATGCCGATTCGATCAACAAATCCTGCCGCTTACATCTCAAAGACATAACTCACATCTGCCCCTATTTAACACCAGACGTGGCTAAGGTGCTGGTCCATCCCTTTGTTCTTTCTCGCCTTGACTACTGCAATCCCCTTCTCAGTGGCTTACGTGTTCCCAGATTGCACTGCTGCAATCTATAATGAATGCTCATTTTCCTGTCCGCCTGCACCTCCCACGCCTCCCCTTTCTGTCAGTCCCTACATCCAGTTAGATATAGGGCTCAATTTAAGATTCTGGTGCTTGCTTACAAGTCCCTACATAATGCTGTTCCAATCTACCTATCCTCCCTAATATTCAAGTATGTCCCATCGAGGCACCTGCTCTCTATCTGTACTCCCACATCTGATGCTCGCCTCCAAGACTTCTCCCGGGCTGCAACTTTTCTGTGGAACTCCCTTCCCTTCTCCGCTAGACTTTCACCCAGTCTCCACTACTTCAAAAAATCTTTGAAAACACACTTCTTCAGGAATGCATCTAATTTAAATTATTAGAGGGTTTTAGTTCCACCCCCACCCATGACTCCTCTTCTGCAACCGTCTAAAATAACCAAAGTTCTCAGTGAATACTTTTCTAGCAACCTATTTTATTACCCCAACTTATACCCTTTGTGTCACTATACCCCACTCCCTCTAGCATGTAAGCTCATTGAGTAGGGCCCTGAACCCCTCTGTTCCTGTGCATCCATTTGTCTGGTTACAATTACGTGTCTGTTAGTCCACCCATTGTACGGCGCTATGGAATTTGCTGGTGCTATATAAATAATAAAATAATAATAATCGCTCACAGAGAGGTTATGTTTCTAGGTCATATCATCTACCTCTTCTCCTATTGTATTGTGTTATCCAATATAGATTGGAAACAGGGAAAATATGTCTCATGGAGTATGTCAGGAAAAGTGTATAATCAAAGTCACACCGCTGTGTTCTATTAATGTTCCCACTGTATCAACAAAAATACTGCCTCTTTACTTACACCTCAGTTCTACTTTTTATATGAAGGAGGCAGCAAGTTACCAGGAGGCAGACAAGTTACCACCTCATAGACCCTATAACTGTTGCATTGATCTCCTACCTAGCACAATACCTCCTAAAGGCAGGGTTTATTTTTTATCACTACAAGAGAATACAGTTATGGAGGAAAATATTAAGGACAAATAGGAGAATGGGTTCATATGTAGATCTTCCTCTCCAACAGGTGCTTGGTTCTTCTTTGAGTACAAGAAAGAGGGAGACCTCAGCTCTCTATAGATTATCGAGGGCTCAGAAAAAATAATTAGAAGGAATGCATATCCTATGCCTTTAATCACAGATTTTTGTTGACAGATTAAAAGGGGCATCTATATTTACCAATATTTACCAGGGGTGCATATAACTTGGTGTATATTAAAGAGGGGCATGGATGGAAAATTGCATTTAATACTAGGAGTGGTCATTACAAATATGCTGTTATGCACTTTAGCCTATGTAATTCACCTGCAGTTTTCCAGGATTTTATAAATTAAGTCCTCAGAGGATATGTTAATTCCTTTGTGATTGTGTAGTTGGACAATATTCTGATCTATTCCTCTGAAGTACACATCAGTCTCATGTCTCTAGTGTATTTCAAACACTTCTCCAAAATATTCTTTACTGAAAACTTTAAAAAAGGCCTACTTGACCAAAGTGAGGTAAATTTCTTGGGTTACTTAATATTCGCATCTGGATTCAGTATGGATCGTCAGTATGAAGATGTTGTCAGCTGTAGTAGAGTGGCCATTACCTCAATGTTTAAAACGGATTCAAAGGTTTATAAGGGTTTAGCCCCTATAACAAACCTCACCAAGAAAGGTTCAAACCATTTTACATGGTCCCCTAAAGCTGTAGAAACATGTCAAAAGCTAAAAAAAAGGCTTTATTTTCTGCTCCTATTCTCATAACCTATGATTTATTTTATATTGGAGGTAGGTGCGTCTGAAATAGGAGTAGGTGCTGTACTTTCACATCCCAAGTCCCCTGACCAACTGTTACACCCTTGTGGGTTCTATTCTAGAAAATGTACACAGACCAAGCGTAATTGTAACATAGGGAATAAAGAGTTATTAGCCATAATTATTGCACTGAAGGAATGGATGCATCTCCTTATTATATCAGTTTTGACCCATCATAAGAATCTGTCATTTTTGGGAGAGACAAAAAAACTAAATTCCTGGCAGGTTAGATGGTCTCTTTTCCTATCTCAGTTTAATTTTCTTATTACGTATAGATCTGGACCGCGTAATGCTAAAGCCGATGCTTGGTCTAGGCAGTTTAGAATTGTTGAAGAAGACAAGATTTAAGGTATGTTTTTATCAATCCTTCAGAAAGAATTATAGCTATGACTGTTCTTTCTATCTCGTCTTCTTTGTTAAAACATATCAAAGCTAAACAGAACAAATCTCCTGAGAATAAACCAAAAGATAGGTTATATGTGACACTAGAAGACAAGAAATAAATTATTTCATGAGTGCAAGCCTGTACAACATTCTGGTACCATGGTTACCAAAACGCTGGCTCTTATATCTTGTAACATCTGGTGGCACTCTCTTTAAGGGGACATTAAATATATTCAAGCATGTTATGTTTGTGCAGCAAATAAGGTTGTACACAAAGTACCATGTAGTCTACTCTGGCTTTAACTATGCCATCTAATGCTTGGTCTAGTATATCTATTAAAGTAGGAAGTTTGCAGAAAGATGAAAGAGAGGTGTCATATTGGATGTGGACAAGAGCTTGTTCCATTGGTAGAGGACTAAGATGTAAAATTGGCTGAATGGACATGATAGAAGGAGCCCAGAAAAATGAATTCCTTACATAAGCAGATTGAGTGTATGGATTCTTCTAACAGAACATGAGATCAACATTATTGGTAATACCACTCCAGGTTCATCCTATCATGAATTTCCATAATACAATTTTGTCATAACAAGTATCTCTTAGGCTGCCACCAGCTTCTCCAGATATTTGTTCAAACTTTGTTCCTCAAACCATCACTCATTACAAATGTCTCATCTGTGATAGATTCTGCTTGTCACAAACAACCATGGCTTCAGCTGCTGAGAACACCACAGTATGACTCAAAAAAAAAAAAAAAGGAAAGGAAATGTGATGATGGTCCACTGACACCTTCGACCCTGAAAAGAACAAAACTATCTCACACATTCTGATTGTGAGCAGCAAAAAATATATAAATAAACAGAGCCCTAGCTGCAGCAGTGAGTGATTTAATTTGAAAAAAGTATATTTTTCATAAAGTGAATAGTGGAATTGGTGAGTGGGCCATCAATTGCCCACTCAATTTTTAAAAAATAAACTTCTGCGGCTGCTCCCTGCTTTTTCAAATACCTTTGGTTATGCATGGTTTGGTTTTGTACATGACCCACTCATCCCTTTCACCTGAAAAGAACAAAGCTCTCACACACATTAAGTCTGTAGTAGAATGAGTCAATTTAAATACAAATGTCTGGGCACACCTGTTGGCTTCTTAGAATGGCAGTCTTTTTAAACGTTTCAGCATTTCTCCTGCGCCTGTGTCAAGTTTAAATAAGAAGTGCAGTACGTGTGTGTGTGTGTGCATATATATATATATATATATATATACTATATATATATATATATATATATATATATATAGATAGATAAATAAAACACAAGATCCAGCGCACTCACCTATCCACTAAACAGCAACTGCAATGTTGAAAGATTTTTTTTTTTTTTAAACGCCTAATAAAATCTTTCAACATTGAAGTTGCTGTTTAGTGGATGGGTGAGTGCGCTGGATCTTGTGTTTTGTATTATTTGGCCCCCAGCAGCACCCCCATTTATGCATGTTAAGGTGAGTGCAGCCAACCCCCTCTTGTTTTATATATATATTTGGGAGTCTAGCCAACTCCTTGGTTTTGCACCCCTCTCTGGTGCCACATCCCAGGGCCCTATTTAGCCTTGTACTGCAGAGAGCTCCAGATGGAATTTTTTTCCTCAAGTAAGTGGTTAATCTCATAAGAGCAGACATTAGGCTGTTAGTGTAGGACCTGCCAAAGATGGGGTACATTGACGTTGTGGCAGGCTTATGCAATGTATGATCATATAATGTAACTAAACCCCCATTATTTTTGCCTAGATTAGGTGTTTTTTAAAAAAACTAATAAAATCTTTTTGAACATTGAAGTTGCTGTTTAGTGGATAGGTAAGTGCACTGGATCTTGTGTTTTGTATTATTTGGCCCCCAGCATCACCCCCATTTATGCATGTTCAGGTGAGTGCAGCCAACCCCCCCTTGTTTCATATATATATATATATATATATATATATATATATATACACTGCTCAAAAAAATAAAGGGAACACTTAAACCACACAATGAAACTCCAAGTCACCTGAGCTCTTCCTGTTTAGCTCCCTTGCGTGCCGCTTAGTAATGCCGGGAGCCGGTCTGACGTCATATTTCAGCTCCCGGTTTCATTAAGCGATGCGGAGGGAGCTGAGCAGGAAAAGCTCAGGTGAGTAGGAGTATGAGTATGCTCCCTCACTGCCTGCTGCTAGCCTTGGGGGGGCTCAAAGGAGGCCAGCCGGCCAGCCAGCTCTTGAGCCTCCCAGGACACAAGGCCACCAGAATGGAGAAGAGCTCCAGGACCGCCAGATATCGAGTGAGCCCTGTCGCCTGCCAGCCTACCGGCCAAGGGGCAATCCCACCAAGGAGTGTCCAAATGCCCCAACACATCCCGAGCCAGCAGCCGCAGCATACAGGCGGAAGTCAGCGTTAGAGACCTCTGGCGTCTGCCAGACCATCCACCGATATAGAAGGTAAGGTATCCCAGACAGCCCCCATTGTTCAAATATGACATGCCAAAGTCCATCGCACTTAGGAGAGACTGCGTGCAGCGCAGCCGAATCCCCATGTCGCCCCACGGAGGTCATGAACCCTAGTCGAGGGCAACCGATAATCCCCAGTCACGGAATCAATCCCAAAGCCCATAAAATGAAAGGCAAGAACCTAAACCACGGTTGCCTCACATGCCAAACAGAACACCAAAACACCAAAAAACCCATCCCCAACCTGCAGCAGCAGAACGCAGATATGCGACTCCGCCGACCCCATACACCAGAAGCCGCCCAGGCAAAGCAGAAGAGGACCGACCCCCGCTTCCTTACGCACCACCCATGCCAGAAAATCCCTAAGCTCTCAAAACAAATAGGATAGGGAGCCGCCCTTACAGAGGCACATAAACACAGAAAATGACAGCCAGGTACAACCCAGGGGAAGGTGACCATCTGGGTGCAATGGTAGCAGCTGGAAAGCCGATGCCACAACCGCCCCAGCCAGCAAGGCTCCCAGACCTGCAGCCCGAACCCTGTGAACCCTGTGAACCCTGTGAACCCCGGCAGCAACATCAACCACTCACAGAATCGCAAGAAGAGCGCGACAAATGAGGGAACCGGTGACATTCCCTTGGTCCTACTTTGGCACCCTGCCAAGGTGAAAAAACCCTCCCATAGGAGAGGATCCATCCGGCCCCAGGAGGCTTTCCTAGCAAGCTACTCCTGAACCAGCTGCAGGACATCCCGTACAGACCCCAGTGTCCGAAACCGAGAAAGGGAAAAAAGGTGCTCTGAAAAGGGGGGTTGCCAAAACCCTGCTCAAAAACCTCCCAATGTGATCTGCGCAGTCTGCGGAACATGAAAGGTCGAGCCACGGTTGAGCTTACAACCACCGGAGCCGTCACCCTAAGCCCAATGTGTACCCGCTTGAAACAGCAGTAACCAGAGCACTCGTGGTTTCACCGGCATACTGACCCCCACATATAGTAACCGACCATGAAGAGCCAACCGCATTGGGGGCCCATGGGGAGGAGGATTACCCCCCCCACTGTCACCCCCCCAAGAAAGGATGGAAAAATGCCCCGCAGAGGGGCCGGGCGAGTCATAATCGAGAGCCAGGGGCCTATGTCCATCTGGCCCCGGGACCAATGAGGGTCATACCGCTTGGGGTACCAAGCATCCCAAAGAATGCCCTGACTGCAGAACCACTCAGAGCATCTCCGGGGGGACTTCCCCCCCCCCAACAACGCCAGCCAGAATAGAAAAAACACCTGTAATCAATTCCCTAATGTCTCAGGAATGTTCCATAGCGGAAATCCTCCATGACCTCCACAAACTCCGTACCGACCTGTCCAAAACCCCCCTAACTAAATCCTATCCCTATATACTTGCCTCAAGTGCAAACCAAAGGGCCCAGTGTCAGGTCCGCCCTGCGGGAAGCTCCGCCTGCCCTAGCCACGGAGCAAGACGCCACCGACAAACAGGGGGGAAGGGGGGCCCAACGGACCACCACCAACCCCAGCGGGCCCCCAGGACTGCGCAGAGGGCGACTGATGACCAAACAGACCCGAGTCGACTCTCCAGGAATTGCTACCCCCTCTCCCACAGATCCCAAACCTACAAAGACCCTATAGAACCCTCTTTTTTGTGTGTGTTTGTTTGTTTGTTTGTTTGTTTTTTATATTTTATTTTAATTACGAATGACTAAACTAACAGGGGAAAAAAAACACTTACCCGTGAAAGCCTGGCGCTCGAACCGCGGCACAGCAGACACAGAAGGTGAAGCAAATAGACAGGAAAACCAGAGTCCTCTGTGTTCATCAAATGTGTTCCATGCGCCACCTGCTGAGCAGTTCCAGCAACAGCAGCCAGGATCTGTGAGAAGAGCATCAGTAAGAAGTGAGCCCATGCTCCACACCAGGAGACAGACGTCGTAAGTGACCAGCAGGAGGGAACACACAGATAGAACAGGGACACACACACAGATAAAACAGGGACATACACAGCCAGAATAGGGACACACAGAGAGGAAGCGGCACATAGATAGAACAGGAGGACACAGTGGGGAGGGGGGCATACGGAGAGAAAACAAGACCCAGCCATAGGGAACAGGGGAAGGAGAGGAGGGCAGAGGGGACCCTAAGGAACATGGAGCACACCAATGAGGGAAAGGAAAAAGGGGGAGGGGGGAGGACCCAGCAGGAGGGAGTGAGGACAGAAAAATCGGAAGGAGCCGGAGGGGGGCCCCCCGGAGCAAACCGTGCCCCCCAACTGACACCAGGGGGACACAAGGTTAATGGAGCAACAGAGGTTGGGGAACAGGGGAGAGAGACCCCGGGGAGCCTACCTCACCAGCAGAGGAGGCTCCCGGCCCACCAGAAGTCCTCCCCCAGTCCTGAACGGCGGTACTGGGCCAGGCCTACTCACCGTTGGGGGCCCTTGCCACCACTCTGCCATCCCACCAGCCGCGGGGGGATTAAGAATGGCCGCTGGGCGGCCGCTGGGCGGCCGCACGCTGTCGGAAACGTGCGGCCCGCTATCCACCGCCCCTGGCCGTAGGCCGGGTAGGCCGCGCTTCCTACGCGGTACATGAAGGTCGCGCATCCTAAGGAAAAGATTCAGGCGCATGTCTGGAGCCCCCAGACACGCAGTCCTGGCGATGCCTCGGGCCCGGGCTCCCACACCTCAACCAGGCCCCGAGGAGGAGTGACAGGGTACCCCCAGGCAGGGTACCCCCAAACGATCCTCCAGGCTCATGGAGTTGCCGGCCACCATCCACGCTGCAGCAGCTCTGAGGGAAGCCAGAAAGCCTCAACCTCCATCCCTCAAGCTGGTAAACCTCCAGGCCCAGGCAAACAGGAGCAGGAGGACAGGAAGCTGTTTGCTGGCCCGAATCCCAAGTGGCACTGAGGTAAGGCCTCCCCCCCACTAACTCACACAGAACATAATCCCACCCACACATTCCTTCCCAACCAATCCCATGCATTTATCCCCACACTCATACATGTGCCCTTGTCCACTTAGCTGTGCTATCTCCCCAGGGCCTAATATTGAAAAGTGTAAGAAAAAGGATAATTGGCATAAAGTGGTAACCAAATAATCTTTTATGAATAAAAATACACAAACAAAACCAACCATAACGCGTTTTGCCACTAGGTCACTTATTTTTGTGCCTTCTGTATCCTTAGCCTGCTTTCCTACCTCTGAACCACTTCTGAACTTATGTTTTGAGCCCTGTACCCGGCCTTGACTGTAGCACTAGGGGGCTGGACTTCCACTGTGGCTAATGTCTATCACTCATAATCCACCTGAGGCAGATTGTTCATTAGCAAGGTATATAACACTGCCTAACACTGAGGGCAGTGTCAGCTAGTTGTTTTCTGTTTCCTTGATTCCCAGACTGACTTCACTTGTGACCCTTGCTTTTTGGATTATACGTTATCGCCTGTCCGCTGCCTGCCCTGACCTTTGGAACCGTGTCTGACTACTCTTCTGGATTTGCCCTTGTCTGTTTCTTCGTATCCGGTTATTGTTTCTGTCTAAGCTCCCTTGCACATATTTACAGCCCAGGTAGCTTCTTACCTGGTTACCGTGAGTTGTGTTTATCTGCAAGGGTGAGCATTCATCTCTGCACTTTGGACTCCCACCAACGTAAGATCGAGGCACAGTCCTATCAATATATACTAGTTTAGCATGGTTTATTTAGAGAGAATAAATTAGATGTCTCTACATTGCCTCTATTCTATGCAATCTAACAATCCTTTTATGACAAGTGCCATAACACTTTATATTGTATGATGTGTCCTCTGCCACTAATCTGGTTATTTTACCACATAATTATTAATTATTCAAAAGAAAATGGAATTACAATGCAATGTGTTCCTTTGTGGTGAAGAATGGAAAATATGTGTGCTTTCAATACTCATATGACTAATATAATCACCACATAAATAAAATGACAAACAAAATTAA